ATATTGTTTACTAGTATTTGCAACAAATCGTAGGATATTTCAACAAATAATCGACCATTTCTATAAATTTCTCTGTCTCACATCAAATTTTGGCTTAAGAAACAATGAATGTAAATATTATAACTCCAAAAAATTGTCTACTAAAAGAGAATTCGGATTCGCTGGTGGCATTTAATATATCCAATAATTTATATCATTGTTATTTGTTATTAAATTAACTAATGAATCAATTAAGCAAATAATTTTTAAAAATCGAAGTCAGTTTTGTTGAATCAAACGAATTTAGAGAGAATTATTATTTATTTAGTCATTTCCACTTTATCCTAAATGGCATTCCTGGATGCTAACGTTTGCTCCATTTTCCGATTTTTCTCTAATGGCATCGTTTTTATAACATTTTCGATATTCACGAAATATTAAATAAATCACTAAAGCGTCTCTTTTTTTTCTGCCTAAGATCGCACTTCTGGTTTGGTTTGTTCTTTCCACTCTCGCATCAGAATGTAAGTAAAGGTGTGTCGCTCGCATAACCTGAATTTTTGGCGGACATACTCATGTCGGAATAAAGCCCCATCGGAGCTCCGACATAAGGGCTATAAGAGAAGCAAAGTTACATATGAGTATCTGTTTACCTATTACCTGGCGGTACTGCATGACTGGCTCTGTGCAAAATAGGATCCTAAAGATCGACTAGTTTATTGCCAATAGAACTATGGAAAAAAGCATTTGAAATCAAAATGCTGCACAAGTGGTTATCAAATGCGATATAGATTATCTCTGTTGTTGTTTTTCATATTATAAACCACCACAGCCAAATGGACAAGTTCACATGGGACACAAGAAAGAACCATTAACAACTACCATGAGCTTGGAGAATAGGGCATTTATCTTTTTAGCCTCTGCTTCTCTAATCCATCTCCTTAAACTAGTGGCCAGTGTTTTGTTTAGCAATCCTGAGGCTTCTGACGAAGTGTAGCTTAACTTTTGTTTTTCCAACATTCGGATACTATTTTTATTTTTCACACCTTTTTGTAATTCTGTCAGCCCGCTAATTTCTTTGTGATGTGCTCTGATCTTATTTTTCAGCCTACTTTGCATTGCACTGCCATGTTCTTTACATGGATGACATCAAGTTTATGCCAAAAGCGAATGAGCCATTGACTCATTCAATTAACACGAATTTAGAGCGAGAACATTTGTTTAGGACTGGAAAAATGTGGCTGGATGTTAGTAGAGATAGAGAAATATTTATGGCTGTTAGGGTAAATCTACCAGCAAAGCGTTTAGCAAACAGAAGCAACAAGTACCAGCCGCAAATACCACAGCCCCACGGAAACCGCGTTGGCGAGGCACTACCAAAGAATAAAACATATCTTGAAGAATCAGTTTAGTGGGAAAAACAACATGTTATAAATGCCCTACCAGCCATCATATAAGTAGCGAGCATAATAAGATGGCCAAACACAGAAATTTCCACCCCAAGTCCAGCACCCAAAGACAACAGCCAGGTTGATGGATGACAATGCTATATCTTGACCCCGAAGCTTGCAAAAATAAATCAATGAAATGGCACCAAAGGATGCGCTGCTAATATCTCAATCAATCATCAACATTGGAAAAACATGAAATATAAATGCAAATGAAGTATAAAACAAGATCTTCCATGAGATGTAGATGAGGTGGCTAATACTGAAAAGTCTTACTAGGAGTTGGAAAAAGAAAGTGGTTGGATTAAAAGATAGCATTGAGACATTGGTCGTAAAAGCACAAGAACGGTACTAATCGCCGCTCCACGTAAGTAGCCTACTACATCAGACAGGATTCAAGGTGCTGATTATACAAAGAAGCTTCAGAAAGTGTTTAATAACTAGCGGTATGATGGAGGAAGCAAATACAGCATATATTAAAAGACATGACCAAGTAGCTGGCATTGGCTATCTGTATCTGCTCATATGACTTAGAATTTAGTCAAATGAAAATAATGGACAATGGCTTAGATCCTCCCAAGACCAGATGAGAGATTTCCTAAAAAATCATGGAGAATAATAAGGCCAAGATGCCATGAGGCCTCTCTGTCATAGGCAAATAAATGCTGGCCAATCAACCAGATGTCGTGAGAAGAACCGAAAATTAAGTAGTACTAGACATAGCAGTATCAAGTGACAGGATCATAAAAAGAAGGAATGTGGAAAGCTAAAAAATTACCAAAGGCTGAAGAAATGATTAAATGATGTGGAAAGTGGAGGTCAAAGTGGTAGAATCTATAATTCCTAAATTAGAAGAGTGGCTTCAATTGATAGATTTCAAGAACAGCATCAGTGATGCCTGCCCAGAAGAGCATTGCTAGGAACACACAGCTGAGAACCCTCAAGCTCCCTGGCCTCTGCTAGAGGACTCGAGGTTGAGACCTAAAGGGATTGAGAAAGGGACTTTTTTAAATATACAAATATATTTTTAAATATATATATTTTTAAATATATATTTATATATTTTTAAATATATATATTTTTAAATATATATTTATATATTTTTAAATATATAAATATATATTATGTATGTACAAATTAGATGAATTCCATTTCTCTTCCTAAATGAAATTCGTTATTAATCGCTAAAATTACGATAATTGTATCGCAGTCTTGAAGAGTTAAATTCTATTAATGGAAATAGAAATTCGCAAGGAAAAAATACGATAAATTTGAAAAGTAATTTCGAATAAAAAGAATTTCCATTTATTATCTAAAAAAACAAGGGGAAATATCGAAATTTTTCAGTTAAGAATAGCGAGTAAATTGAAAAATAAAAAGTAAAAAAAATAAAAAAAGAGCTTCAAAAAAAGCTTTTAAGCTTCTAAATTTTATACAAAAAAGTGCCTCAATATGCTAAAAAATAAATTTTCGTAAAAAATATAAGAAAGAAATAATCAGCATTTCAAATATGGTTGAATAAACCTTTTTCTAAATTGGGCAATTGGGCAATTGGGCAATTTTTATGTTAGATAATGCAATTTTTTCTTTACTATGGAGTTCATCAATTTTAGTTCAATTTCCTCTGGTTTGGTGGACCAGAAAAATATTATCGGGGACTTGGCAATAGAAATCGCTAATGTAATCCAATGTGAGTCGCCAACAGAATTCGGATACATATTTACTCTTGTCAGATTTGCTCTAAAGTGCGATAATCAGCATCCATTCCGAAATTATAGCAACAACAGCTCGCTGAGCTATTCCATCTTTAAACAAAGCAATTTTAATTTAAACAAAAACTAAAATATTTATTTATTGATTTATTCATTTTATGTTTATTGCTTTTAGAAGCAAATATTTCCTTATTTGAATAATATTTTATTATTTCATTTGTTTGAATAAGCCTATTTATAAATCATTGATCACTGATATTTCTGACCACTGATATTTGTGAATAAAAGTTTTTCATTTAAAATCATTAATTATATAACGTTTAAAAATATTTTCCATAAAAATTAAGGATTGAAAAACCAAGAAAAAAATGAATCGAATTTACGACAATAATGAAAAGATTAAAATCTGATTAAAATCTTTAAAACATTTTTTTATTGATAAAAAGTAATGGAGGAAGGAAATACAAATAATTATATGGAAAGGAAGTAATTCGTCTTATAGCATTCAACAAATGATATTGAAAGAAGTAAGTGGTTAGACTCGCTGTGTTGGCTATTAGTAATTACGAATCGCCAACGCCACTTGGATTTTTGAAAAAGCTTACTCGAAACGCGAGTCGAGTGTTTGCCTCTCAACACAACAATCATCGCTCACTCGGCTGTCGTTCCTCCTCAACTAATGGTTCCTTATTGGCAAAAAAAAAATAAAAAAACTTTTAACAGCGTAGAAATACGAAAAAATTGCAGAAAGGAAAGAAGAAGGAGAGTTTTATGAAATTTTCAATAATTTCCAAGAAATTTTCTTTATTGACAAACATAAATAATTCAACGAATCTCATTCAATTAATTTCTCATTTAATTCTCATTTAATAATTTTATTAATTTAGTGAGTTTAGGTGAAAATGATTTTTCCAATGCTTCTTTTTTTTCCTTTTGTTATCAAAAATTTTATTTTTTTCCCTCATCCAACAACATTTTAATGAGCTCATTAAGGTTTTCTCTTAAATTTTAGGAATAAATTAAGAACACATTCATTTCCATTTTCATAGAATAAACGGATTTTTTAACTGTTTCTCTATCTTTTAATCGCTCGCACATTTACTGATTAGGCTAATTCCGTTGGCTATAAAAATCGGTCGCCTCCAAGTCTTCGTTTACGCTTTTGATAACCACAATTTGATAATTCCAAAAATATCTTTGGCTTTTATCAAATTATTATTGTAATCTATAGATATTTATATTTACGTTTAAAATAAAGTTCCACTGAAAAAATTTATTTGCTTAAGCAAATAAGCAAAAATTCAATAGAAATTAGGGATGCTGTTATCATTCAAATGCAATATTCAAATGTGACTTAGGTGATTTAATACTAGCAAAACCAATATCTAAATTGTAAAACAAACTATTATTATTATTACTATTATTATTGTCATTACCTTATCAATTATTGTTATCATCTATTATTTTTTATTGATATTAATTCTTACCATCGTTTATTATTGCTATTTATTATTTAATTATTGCTATTATTATTTATTATTAGCGTTACCATTATATTATACCGTTGTTTATTGTTCTTTCTTCTTCGCGGCCTCTGATAAGCAGTTGGATAAAATAAAAGAAAAAAGTGAAAGTAGAATATTTTTTTTTATAAGTCTAAAATCTGCAGGAAAATAAATGCACATTGTGTGCACATCAGAAGATTTTTAAGCCTAAGATTACGACTAAGGATATTCAAGGATATTCAACAGGCAGAAAAAAAAACCTTTCAATGTCATGAGATATTTACTTTCGAAAGTGTTATGGCATAATGTTTGCCATCAAAGTAAAATATATTTTCCTTATTGCAATTACTATGAAAATGCTTTTTACTGTCGAAAATCATGGAGGAATATTAAAATGGAAAAGTAAATTTGACCGACCGATGCTCGGCGCTTTATTTCTTCCACCAAATCGAACTGTTCAAGATATAGGTTCGGAATTTTATGAATATTAAATTATATAACAAAATTATTAGAAATTAGAATAGTTGGATTAGAATAAATGGCAACAATAAGAGAGTAAAATATAAAATATCATTTAGGTGACACATTTTCATAAAGCAATATTTTTTTGCTGCATTGCACTTTATTACGCTTAGAATTCATCATCAGAATTTCAGAAATTAAAAAATATCTTTCGAAAATCTTAACTAAATTTAATTATTAATGATAATAGATAATATTTTCACTGCTCCAATAAAAAAAAAACGTAAATTAAGAAGGAAAAAATTTTTACAAAATTTTTTTAAGAAAAATTTCTTCTTTTTTGCTTACTTTTTATCGCTGAAAAAATTTTTTTCTTCATAAGTCAAAAAACTACATTGAAAATTTTTAAAATCTTCTTTGCGGATTCATTTTTTAAAAAATGTTAAATATTCTTTAGAAATTTTTATCAAATTAATTAAATCGAATCAAATTTTAGATTTTTTTTTGGGCGATTTACCACTGAACAAAGGATAAATGGAAATTAATCATTTTAATCCATAAATTTCCTAGGTGGTGTAAAAAACCTTCATCTCGCACATATTGATAGCGTCAAGCCAATTCTCGATATTGCGATCGAAGATGCGTGGCAGCGATATTTAACGCAGTGGAAATCGAAATCTACATGGTTGGAAATTTTCATTGCTCCAATAAATGAATGTGAAGACCAAAAAAGAGTCGCATGGGCAGCTCTTGAAGCTATTCAATGGACAAATGGAAGCGGAGTAAATTTTTTGCTGGATTTTTTTTGGCAAATTTTGGTAAATTTTTTGGTGAATCGTTTTTTGAATAAATCTGAAAATTTTAATAGAAAATTAAAATTGATAGTTAAATGGAAAATAGATAATTTCAGCTCGATGTGGCATTTGGGCCAGCTTGTGATTATGTTCTGGCGACAGCTAATCGGATTTTAAGTTTTAGTGGTGTACCAATGTTTACATCAGCTGGATTCTCGGAATTTTTTAAAGATAAAGAAAGAGATGCTGAACTAATAATTCGAGTTGGCCCAGTTCATGTAATCAGACTTTTTCTTTATAATCTATAAAATAAAAATATTTTGATAAAATTAAAATTCATTATAAAACAATATTTAAAGGCAAGAAATAGGGATAATGAGAAAAAAATTTAGGATCATATTGATGAAATGATTGAAGAAATATCACGAAAATTCGGATGGACACATATGACGCTATTTTATGAAAAGAATTTCTGGAAATCGGAACTTCTCGAATCCGGATTCTGCAAGATGCTTATGAATGTAAATTTTTCAAATGCGCTTTTGCATCATTCACTTTTATCATGTTTTTTATTTAAAAACGTAGAAATTAAGACATGGCAATATACTTAGTGCTATGGAGAAAATATAATAAAATTAGGTTAGTTATCCTTCGTTCATGGAGCATTGTGATCATTTATACAACATGATAAAATAGCTTTTTGGAAAGCTTTGCATATTTATAAATTTTTTTCCCTTTCTATTTCCCACTTTCATAAATCTTCTTCTTTTGCATTGGCAACTGAAATCATATTTATTTATTATAAAACTGAGAAAGGAAAAAGGAAAATAAGAGATTATATGAAAATTCTATCATTGATATATTCTTGTATAAATTTTAAAGGTGTATTTAGGGCCTTTTCGTGCGAGCTGCAAATAAACGGTCAAATTTAAAACCAAATCCACAAATGTTACCGAAACACAATAAAAGGAAAGGGATTAGAAATTTATATAAGAAGCATTTAATCGAAAATGTAGGCACTGATCGAGCAGGTCGGTTCTTTTTTAATTTTTAGTATTTCAGGGATGAATTTTTCAAATGAAAATTTTTATCTCTATCGCTTGTTTAAATTCCGTTAAATTTTTCAACAGCTTTTCACTTTTAAAAATTTTTTCTTCGATGGATCTGCCATACGAATTTTATTCAATAGCTATCATAGAAAAGGTTAAACGAAGATAATTCTCATGCATGGATTTACATATATATACAATTTTTTCGATTTATCTCTTCATTAATTTTCGATTCTTCGATTCTTTGCATTTGCATTCGTGATGATTGCAAAAATCCAAATAGATTTGCTTTAGCACTTATAAATTTTAGTTATTTTCCTTACGAAAAAATTATATTACTTTAAATATTATATTAAATATTATTATAAATTGAAATATTATAAGTATATATGAATATAAATAAAAAAATCAGCAAAATTTTCAATTGTTTTCAAACTTCCATTGTTTTTGAAATATAATTAGAAAGAAATGATTAATTAAATCATTTACAATGAATTAACTAAATTATCGTTTTTCTTCTTTGAATAATTAAGTTGAAAACATATTAATTTTAATATTCGTACTTATTTAATTGGAGCACTTGGAACTGTGGCTCTCAAGCAAGAAAAATAGCTTTAGGAGCAACATATGAGATCCCTCGCCAGAAGAACGCACTACTAGAGAGACAGTCAAGGTACTCCCAGAACCCTCGATCTCCCAGGCATCTGATGAGGAATCGAGCTTGAGGGCCCACAGGAGGTGAGAGAAAAGTTTTTAATTCAATCGTTTCTATTAATAATTTCGTAAAAAGTTTAAAAATTCATATAAAAAATAATTATGAACTCTTTTTTTCAAAATTCAGTCCTAAAGAATAGCTTAATTTTTATTTTTGAATAGACGAAAGCAGAGATTTATATTTTAAAGCGACTAATAATTTTATCTTAATCTTGCGAATATTTGTGTTTATATAACAAATTGCCTTAAAATTAAGCGAAATTTATATTAAAATTTTCGAAAGGAAGCTGAAAAAATTTTAGTGAAATTTTTGATGCCATATAAACGAAATATCAAATTTTGGCAGAGAATTAAATTTTTGATTAAGTCGCAAAATTTTGCAGTAATATTAGATACAACAGATATGGAAATCTGAATTAGGTGCACCCTTTAAATATGTAAGTAGGTAATTAGGTGAATTAGGTGAATTAAGGTTCATGCACTAAACAAATAAAAAAATCTGAATTAGGTGCAACCTGAATTAAGGTTCATGCACTAAACAAATAAAAAAATCTGAATTAGGTGCACCCTTTAAATATGTAAGTAGGTAAGTCTAAGTAAGTAAGTAAATCTCAAAAAATAAATTTTTAAGTGTTTGTTTGTTTTTTTAAGATTTCACAATTAAAATGTTTGGATTGAGAAGATGGGCATCAAGAAGTTTTTCAATTTTAAAATTACATAAAATATAAAAATTCAGTTCTTTGAAATGTTTTTTGGCGCAATGAATTTTCATTGAATTTTCAAAATTTTGCGCCACAAGCCAATTTTTTTGCAATATAGTTCGTTAACTTCGATCACCTTAATAAACAATTCTTTAGGAATTTCATTCCATGTCAAAGGTCAACCAATTCAACAAAAGTTAACCATCAATTTTCAAACGAATATTCATTCAACGAATATTCTTTTAGAATTTATAATATTATATTTCAAATATGCATAAATTTATGAAATGCGTAATAATTGCAAAGAATAAATTTATTGTAAGTTTATAATAAGAAAAAATTGCGTAAAAGAATTATTAAATTTGAAAAAAACTTTTTCATCAACTGAAAACTTAAAACGAAATCTTAAATCTTAATTTAACCACAATCTATTATCCCGAATATAAATGATTAGCCTTTCAAGCCTTACGCCAACAGGAGAGGAAGTAATCTCTGTAATCCATAAGCTCAAGGCCGATAAAGATGGTCTTCGGGTTGAACTCTTCAAATGTTGTTGCTTTATGAATGAATTCGTTTCAAGCGTAGATTGTTGTGAGCTTTAAAATTTTTATCCGACAAACAATGTTATAAATCCCAGTTAATTAAGTTAGTTTACTTTATATATAATCGTAAATACAAAAAAAAAGAAAATATATGCAAAGAAAAAAACAATGTAATTGCATTTTTGCCTAAAGTATGAAAAAATATTGAAATTTTATGGAGGGAATAAATCGGATAAATAATGAAAAAAATAAGCTGAAGGCCGGATTAAGCAAAATCATAAATAATTCTGTTTAAGTTGCATAGTTTGGAAGAGAACTGCTTCAAATGCTGACTTATTGCAGTATTTTCTATACTAAAAAATTTTATGCGATTTTATGAAATTCAAGGAAAAACACGAAATAAAACGTGGAAAAATTTTTATTTTTCCTCAAAAAACTGATAATGATTTAAGTTCAGTGAAATTTTTTTAAATTCAGCAAATTTTCGAATTTTTCCATCGGATTTATCAGCTGATTCATCTCTCATTCTCTATTTTTTTTTACAGTTTTAGATTTTAGATTTTAGATTTTTTTTAGATTTTAGATAGTATTTTTAGATTTTTTACAGCATATCTCATATTTGTAACAAAATGTTTCGAAAAGGAATAACGAGCTGTGCTGATAAGATGATAATTGCCATTTTAAATTATAGTTTTTTAAAGATAATTGCTTTAAAGATAAAAGATAATAAAAGATATTTTAAATAAATCCTTCACTTGCTCAAAAAGCAGATTTTCAACATTTTTCCATCTTTCTTTCTAAATTTCTGTACTATTGAAAAGAACGAAACGCTGCACGCTTTCTAATCTATAAATAGGTTATCAGTTGCCGTGTCCGTTTTTTATCAATATCTTACCAGTCAAACGATTCTCCAAAACAAAATGCAGCTTATTATTATCTCAAAATTCCCATTATAACTTTTTGGCTGAAGTTTTTAGTAGAATTATTGCGTAATTAACATTTTTTTTTTAAAAATTTCTCTTGATAACTTCGAATATTCCAAAGCTATTGAGTGGTTAGTTAGATTAATTTCGTCTGATTATTGGCTGTTCTTGAATTGATCGAACAGAAATGGGATAGGATAGTGCTTCAATCCTCGAATTGAGAAGTGCCTACGAGCTCGACGCACGACAGGAATAAATCTTTCATTAAAAAACCTCACTAGTGCTGATGCACCTATATTTCTATAGCTTGGTGGACTCTTTGGCAAAAATTTCTAACCATATTAGCTTCAGCCAGCGCAACTTAAAGTGGTAAAAAAGCCAACCACTTGTATTACTGAATTTTTATAAATATTTTTATAATGATGAAAGTAAGATTTGAGTTTTTAGTTTAAATAGAACAGAATTAGAATAAATGTAGTGATAATTTATTCCTTATCTAATACTTTTTAATATTTTTATTAAAAAAATATTTTTATTATTTCGTTTCCAAACAATTTCAATTATTTATTCCTTTTATTTTTTTTAAACCACAAGTTTGCTCCACAAAAGAATTGAAAAACTTGGCTCAATCAACAACCAACGACAAAGATTTTTCATTTTAGAGCCATTTCGAAATTACTTGCATCGATGAAAAATTCATAAAGCATGTTAAGGTTTGTTGAAAACAGATGTCTGACTTATAAGAAATATTTCGTATTTAAATTAACGAATAGCCGAAGATATCCTAAATGTTTATTGATGAAGATTAAACTCGGCAGAATTTTCCGTTTTTAATCTCATATCAGCTATGCGAATTAACTTTTCCTCTATAGTTGTAAAAACTAAGCTTTTTTTATTATTTAGTAATCTTTTCATAATCTTTCTAATTATTTTATTAAATTATTAAATTATTATTAAATTATTTGTAGTAGCCAAATTATAATTAATAATATTTGGAATTATTTGATTTTTGTTTTTAATTTTTTTCACTAATTTGGCACCATTAATGAGAAATTTATAACAAATAAAATGCATTAAAGGAAAATGCAATTATTCTAGGAAAATTCCACGATAAAGTTTTTTTCTTCTTTTTTTGCTAATTTATTTTTTAAAATCGCTAAATCTCTTCCATTTATTTAATTAAATTCATTCTTAATTTTTTTCATTAATTTAACCATTAAATTTTGCAATTCTTTTGCACTAATTTAAAAAATTATTTGCCCACATATTTGTTATTTTTGTTATTATTGTTATTTATATTACTTATATTATATTATTATATTGTGATTATATTATTAAAATAAGCTAAAAATAAGCAAAAAGCATGCAATTTATATTTTCATCAAACGTTCGCTGGATAAGAAATAAAATATGACTTTGTCTGCGTTCCCAGCAAAAAAGTTTATAATTTTGCAGACGATGCAACTGTGTAAGAAGGAAGGATTTATTGCAAATTTACTGCAATAAATGCGTTTGTATTTACAAAAATAAACGAATACCAATTTCTTGCCAATGTGAATGCTTTCTCTCACGAATTTTACGTTGTTTTTTAAGTAGGATTTGTCGCATTTGCGGATAATTCTGCGATCTTTGCGAATAGCTTAGATAATTCTGCGATCGCAACGTGCATAGTAACAGTAAAACGAAGGCTCGAAAGATGTTTTTTAAAAATACTTCGAAACTTTTTCGTCCATTTTGATGTAAATCGTAGATAAATAAAAGGTGTAAAAAAAGAATCCAAGAATCGATCATATTCGAGTTTTCTGGCCTTTTGGCCTATTTTTAGTAGCAAAATTATCAGACAATCTTCCTGCAAATGAAACATATAGTGCAAATATTGGGGGTAGAATAGTCTCAATTCGAGGCGCCGATGCTGAAGTTTTATTCCCCGCAGGAGTAAATCGAAAATCGGGGTGATGATGGTGAATCACCTATATTTCTATCGCTAAGCGACTCTCTGGCAAATTTGTCTAGTGCGACAAGCCAGCGGAGCAAGTCTAACTAGTAACTGTGAGGGCTCTTAAAAAAAAGTGCAAATATTAAGAAATGAGCTGCAAATGAGTTGCGAGGACTGCAAATATTACTA